AAGTTTTCTTGAATTTGAACTCTTCATAAAAAGCATCATTAATGGTTCATTTGTGAAGATAAAATGTAGATATTATTTCCTTGAAGCTAACCATTTGCTTGTTTTTCAGTCTTACTAACCATGTGTTGAGAACTGACTTTTACATGTAGCAAAATAATGACAGAAGTAAAAAACAGTAGTATGAGTCGATACGTAACACTATGAGTCGACACATATTATGTACAAAACAGGTTATGAGTTGACAAAAAACACGTATGTGTCTATACAAAGTAGTATGAGTCGATACAAAACCCTTATGTGTCGACTCATGCTGAGTTGTTTTGATTTTCAAGAGCTAGATATGAGTAGGGGTGTTCAAAACCAAACCGGCCCAATAGAAAACCGCAAAACCAAACCGAACCAAACCGAAACCGCAAAAAACCGCATTTGGTTCGAATGTGTTTGGGTCATTTTCTCGTGGAACCGCACGGTTCGGTTCGGTTTGCGGTTTGTATTTTACAAACGGAACCAAACTAAACAAAACCGCATTATGTTATAAAATCTTACTAACCACTATATATTTCTTTAATTCTTTAGAGAAATCAACATGTATTATGTGTATATTTTATCATACTTTGTATTATATTCATTTTAATTTACAAATCATAAAAAATAAAATATTATTCATTTATAAATACTATTTTCACAAAATATATTTTATCATATTCTTTGTATAATATTTATTTAAGAATGCAATCTTGTTGATATCATTATTTAGATTTAGATAAAATTATAATACGCAATTTTATGTATCAAATTATAAATTTATTTTGACAATTATAAATTTTTTATGGTAATGTATGAATAATTAAATATAAAATTATATTTTCCTATATATTTGTATGTATGACATAATAATTATTTTTGTAAAAAACCGAAACAACCGAACCAATCCAAACGGCATTAGTTTGGTTTGGTTTGGTTCAGATTTATTTTTAAAAGCCAACCGAACCAAACTGAACCGCATGTTTTTTCTCTTGCGGTTCAGATGATTTTTTGCTTCAAAACCGTCCAAACCGCACCGCGAACATCCCTAGAAATGAGTATGACTCGATACAAAACTTGCATGTGTCGATACAAAGCAGTATGAGTCGATACAAAAACCTTATGTGTCGACTCATACTGAGTTGATTTTGATTTCCAAGGTAAAAGAGATGATATGAGCCAATGCATGCATCAATATATAAAATTTTCGTATCAATGCATAAGCTCATGTGTCAATACATAAAAGTTTTCTTAAACCAATTTTTTTTCTTTTTTTTTTTACATTATCTTTTATATTTCTTCATATTTTTATTGTCATTCAATACTCAATATGGTTGTAATAGTATAATTAGAATTTTATTGCTTTCATCCCCCATTCATAAACTTGTATCCCCATCCCCAAAAAATATGTAATAGCGTAGAACTTTAAAATTCCACAATTTATCGCTTTCAATATTATTGCTAGTAATTAGGGTGTGTATGGAAAGACTTAAAATCAACAAGTAGACAACCCTAATTTAAGACAAAAATGCATGAAATCAATACACTTGCACACGCGCACTTCTAGGGTAATCCACACTTGTTGCCTCAGATAAAAATAGTTATGTCCCTCGAACGTGGGATACTTTAGCAATGACTCTCACAACAAATTGCTAAGGTATCCTACAATGTTGTCTTCTATGACTATACGACGACCTACGCCCGTCCCTTCACATCCAATGATAGGGCTTCTTATCAATCAATGATAAGATAGAAATATCTATAGGAGGAGGAAATGAACAAAGACTTTTTGAGTAGGTAGAACGTTCATAGTTGCTTGCTCACAACATTTCAAGATATCTTTCAAATACACCAACACTTTTCTATGTAATATATTCAAAAGTCAATACTTTGTATGCATTCTTATGGAGACGAGAATCATTACAAAGTTCGCCTAAATAAAGGCACTTTTCAAAAATACTTTCAAAACCAAATCACAAACACATTTCAAACAAAGCATTTCAAAGTGAGCTAGCAACTAAGAGCTCATAGATAACTACGGATGAAAAATGTGCTAACACCTTCCATTTTTATAACCTACCCCCCGAACTCAAGAAAATTATCAAAATGTCTTTCATATTCTTTTCACCCTTTCCTTTATTGGATAAAAGAAAAGTCAGTGGCGACTCTTGCTATCCGCAACAATGGCGATAAAACACAAAACACCAAAGTCAGTTCTCCCACCGTATTACAAATCCTTTGAACTTTTATTGCAAATTAATGTATGATGAATCACATTAGACCTTGAAATGAGGTTGCTTTGAAGCACACTTGATGTGAATGCTCATTTCTTGAGGAAACTTGTTGAAGAAGACATGAAAATAAACACATGAACCTATAAAGTTTCTTGATGAATTCAACCACTAACTTTGAGACAATTTTGACCAAATAAAGTTGAGAGAGCTCTCAAGCCATATAACTTTGATACCATAATCATAGTCTTGAAGTTCAGGCCTTTAGAATCCAATGAATAGCCATTTGACTGGGTATTAATCTTTAAAATCCTAGCTTGTGAGGTAAGAGAGATGCCATTGGCTCAATACCTACAATGTACAAAACATAAAAAGAAAATACATACATCTTTTTGGATTTTAGTTAAGAGTTAGTAAACATAAAATACTGAAACGTCTAAGTCAATTTTGAATAAAAGAAATAGGTTGGTACCCACGCAGGTATGAGCTTGAATTCATGAAATTTAGGTTGGTACCCACGCGGGTATGAGCTTGAATTCATGAAATTTTTTAAACTATGAATATGAGAACAACTAAACTCTACTCATCGTTGTCCGTATAATAGAGTTATGAATTAAAATCATGTTTTTATGTTCGATTAGTAATATTTTTCTTTATCTTTATAATAAATAATTTAAAATATTATTAACAAATTAATAATAAAAATTAATACTATATTGACTTTAATTTTTCAAATAAAATAAAAATCTTTATATTAATACGACAATTAAAAAGATATTGTTGAAGTAATTTACAAACAAAGAGACAAATCCCATCATAACATTAATACAATCAATCAATTAGTTAATCTTTATCTAAAACGACAAAGCATCATTTCAAAACTCAAAACTTGCACCTTTCTTGTGTTGGAGGGTCATTGATTGTTGGAGAAAACCTAATTTCAAAATTAACATTCAACAATATACTAATCAAAACCAATTTCAAAATTTGAATGAAGCATGGTACTTATGAGGAGGAAAAGATTGTGCGATTGAAAATAATAACATCACTAATGGCAACAACAATAACATTCGGAGTAACCACATTAATTACAAATTATACTATTTCTGTCTTAATTGCAAATTATGGATTGTACTATTTTTATTTGAAACGTCAAAAAAAGTGATTGATAATAATTAAAAAAAAAAGTTTAATAGCTACTGTTATATAAACGAGTTTTATAAAAACCTCTTATAATTTTAAAAAAAATCTCTTATCATATAATTTTATCCTTTCAAAAAATTTAAACATAAAAAATAATAATATTTTAGAAATCAAAAATCACTAATTTAAAAAAGAATTTTTTAAAAAATCGTTAATTTGACAAGAGACAAAATATATATAAATTTTTAAAAATAAAGGTAAATTATATAAAATTTAATAGATTATAGATTGATAAATTTCTTGAGAGATTAAAATGAAGGAATCTTGGAATTTTTTAATTTTTTTACAAGAGATTTTTCAAAAAATACCTATATAATAGAAAGAAAAATAAATATCAACCCTAAAAATATCATATAAATTTTTAGAATAGTAAAAAATCATAAAATATTAGAATAATAAAAAAATTTAATAGATAATAAAATAATTTTATACTGTAAAAAAAATCAACAATTTATTTTAAATTTGTAACTTGTATATGATCTTCCATAATTATTTGTTTTGTTTTACTAAACTAAACTACCTGTTTAAGGAGATAGTTTTTGGTTTTTATCACTAGTATTTAGTCTATTAAATTCTTTAATATGACTCGGGAATTAGTTTTAATATCAAATGATTCTAGGCTCTCACCGATTATAAGTGATATTTTTTATTTCTTTTGTCTAATATTATTTGTTGTAATAAATTATTTTATATAGATTAAGAAACAATAACAATAATTAAAAAAATAGTGATTTTGTTAAATTATTCTGAAATTAATATTAATATTAAATAAAAAAAGTAAATTAAGAGTATTTATTAAAATATATAATTAAAAGATTAAATATAAAATTACATCGATAATCTTAAATAATAAGTATTTTGAAATAATTTTTTTCTTCGTGACACTTATTTTAAGACGGAAGAAGTACTTAATTTTAATCGTCTATGAAACAACTAAGAGCATTCACATCCATACTACTCATATTAATAGTATAAGTGGGTCCCATCTAATATAATATATTATTTTACACTTCTCAATTATTTAAACCACTTAATTATATTTTCTAAATATCCATACTACTTACTTAAAACTCTAACATGGGTCCCACAAAATTAATCCAACAGTAACATGTTATTTGAAAATTTAATCCAACAGCTATACATGCTACAAGCTAATATATTTATTAAAAGCTACGATCCTTTTTTTGGATACGGTACCAATTAATACTACTATCATTTATCTTCTATTATCAATACTACTCTGACTACAGTAGTACACATAGACATAAGACACAGCGATATTTATGCTCTAAAGATGTGTTAATTTTAAAAGAAAAAAGAAAGAGAATGATTGATAAAATGTATTGTCATATATATATATATATATATATATATATATATATATATATATATATATATATATATATATATATATATATATATATATATATATATATATATATATATAAATCACCATTTTCTTTTAAAAATTAAAATCTTTTTAATGACATAACAAAATACCTATTTTCTATGCAATGATATTATCGATCCATACAAAATAAATTAGTTCACCTGATTCCGCGGTACCCATATGAGATTCACGTGCAAATGTCAAAAACCTCTATTTATTATTTTAACCTTCTAATTTTGCCGGCTTTGGTCCGTTTCCACTTAATACGCCGTCGTTTTATCCCTCACTTCTTCTCCTCACTCGTCGGTTACTCTAAAATACTCGAATCCCACTCTCTTCAATTTCATTTCTTCACACTACTCCGTGTTGACTCAGTTTTTCAACTCGCTCTCTCTGCATTTTCTTCTCTCTCTTCATCTGGTACTCTCTCTCTCTCTCTCTCTCTCTCTCTCTCTCTCTCTCTCTCTCTCTCTCTCTCTCTCTCTCTCTCTCTCTCTCTCTCTCTATGTTCGTTTCTGACCCGTACGATTCACTGTGATTTGTAATTACTCTTCCGATTTGTGTTTTTTTTTTTCCATTTCTGAATTTCGAATCGAATGCTTCATGCTTCGTGATTGTAGTTTTTAGATTTAGGATTGTAATGTTAGTGTGATTGTTCATGCTGATTTTGATTGTTTACTGCAACTCACGCTGAGATCTTGCTGTTTAGTTTTGTAATTGCATAGTACCGGCTTATTTTTGTGAGATTTAGTTTTGTTACTTAGTTGCTTCGATTTTGCACTGAATCTGTTGATTTTTTTTTTTGAAATCGATTTTGTGTGTTTTTAGTTTGTGAATTGTGATTTAATCGATTTGGTTTTTTGAGTTGAAGTATTGTTAATTATGTGTAATAATGCTAGTGATTTTGCTTTGTTTTTTTCTTCTTCTTTTTTCTGATGATTTGTTTGCGCTGATTTGAAGTGTATCTGGTTGGTGCTGTGTTTGAAATGAAATTTCAGTTCTAAGATTGGAATTGGCTTTTGCAATCAATGGTTTTCTTGGAAATTTCAATATATTTTTGTATTTGTGTTCATGATATCTGAGATTGAGAACTAGGAAATAAAGATCAATGGTGTTGTAGTTGTGAATTTGTGATTTGGTGAGATATGGAAAGCTAGTAGTGAATAAATCAATTTTTGTTTTGTAGTCTGTAAAGGTTATTTTCGTGATTGTTTATTTGTTGTTGAGAGTTTAGATCTTGACTTAAGAATGTTGTATTTGAAGTGGAAGTTCAGCTCTAAGGTTGGAAATGACTTTTGCAGTAATTGTTTATCATGGAAATTCAATATAAATGCATGTGTCTGTGTTTGCCATAAATTGAATTGAGACTCAGGAAATAAGAGTAATGGTGTTTTAATTGTAATTTGGAGAGATATGAAAAACCAATAGTGTTTAATTCATTTTTTGTTCTATGCTGTTAATTTTTCTCTTTGGTGATTGCTTATTTTTTGTCAGAGTTCAGATCTTGATTAAAAGTTTTGTTTTCGATGTTAAATCCAATTTATTATTTCACTGTACTTGTTTTTTTTTTTCTTTCAGAAGATAAATAAATGGTGGTTTGAATGGCTGTTAGTATTGAATTTGATTGACTGTCTTTGTTTTTGATATCAGATTATAGTTGACAAGGATGTCCAAGACAGCACTTAAGGACCTCAATACCATTCCTGTAACAGAAAGGAAGAGCGAGGGCTCTGGTAAGACGTGTTTGACAAAGACTTCGGTTGACAATGCTAGTGAAAATATTGAAGAATGTCAAAAGAAGAAAAATTGTTCCACTTTGGTTTCCCCACATGTTAATGGAAATCAGGCTGCCCCTGTAGATTCTGTTGTAGAGATTGGAATTGTAGAAATAGAGTACATTGAATCCGAGAACTTGAACGATGTAGAAGATATTGATACTTGTCTCAAGGTATTATTTTATTCATCTTTTTTGGGTATGGGAATAGATGCGTTTGAATAGGTGATAACTGTTAAAATTAGTATACCACGGGCGTTTGATTTTTTGCCATTATATTTATTCATTAACTTGACTTTTAGCTTTATATAACATGAATTCAACACCTACGTTATGTCAGTATATTTATTAGTTATTTGGTTTGTTACAGACCCTCTTAGCTGCACTTGACTCAAAGGATTGGGTCCTGGTCTGTGATACTCTAAATAATGTACGTCGTTTGTCTATATTTCATAAGGAAGCAATGCTTGATATTCTGTAAGTACTGAACTTTTTTCTTCAATGTTTTCTGAGTGAAAGATGGTTTTTAAACTGAAATGTTCATATGCTATTTGATAAACAGGGGGAATGTGATTACACATGTTGCTAAGGCCCTGAAAAGTCCTAGGAGTGCTGTTATCAAAACAGCCGTTATGACATCTGCTGACATTTTCTGTGCATATAGTGATCTTATAATAGATTCACTGGATCCTCTGGTAAGACAGAATTCCTAATGGTACTCATTAATTTGCTCCCTTAAGCATTATGGAATCTCGTCATACACTTCTGATAGTAAATTGACATGTTCCATATGGTGGATGCAGCTATTACAGCTTCTTCTCAAGTCTTCGCAGGACAAACGCTTCGTATGTGAAGCAGCAGAAAAAGCCTTGATATCAATGACTACTTGGATTTCCCCTATTTCATTGTTGCCAAAACTGCAACCATACCTTAAGCACAAGCATCCCCGTGTTCGTGCTAAGGCATCAATGTGCTTTTCTCGAAGTGTTCCACTACTGGTATGAGTAACCTTTATGACTTTTACTCATATTGATGACTGTTAATATATTGGTCTCTTGTACATATAAATTTTTTTCTAGAATTGTGTCCTCTGAAATGATATTCTTTGCTGCAAATAGAAAAGTAACTAAACCAAGATTATAGGTAGCAAATTAATGATGCAGGGAAAGAACATTGGGCACTATTAACTTTGAAATTCCATAAATTTTTACGTTTGTTTTGGACATCGGACAGAATTTATAAAAATTGCTTCAATCCCAAATTATGTAAGAAAACTTCTTATGCCTGTATTTAATTTGGGAATGGTTTATCATGACCATATATGTATTTTTGTTGATATATTATGTTTCCGAACATAGGAAAACGGAATAGAAGAATATTTTGTGATGAATCAAAGATCAGAGGTCTAAAGTGATCAATGACATGTCCTGAAATATTAATTTGTTATTGTGGACTTGCATTATTTTTCAAGGTTATTGGTTATCTGTTTAACCTGCTAGTAATAATAATGACCTTATATCTATTTTGTTCTATCATGCAATGCTCTGAAACTGTTTGAGACAATCAATATATATTGATGCATACTTTTTATATACATGTCTCTCTCTATCAGTGCATGTCTATATCTATAACTATGTTGTTTTGTTTAAAAAAAATTCAGTCTGTTTGCTTCAATGGTTATATCAGTCATTATACTTGTATCAATACAATTCCTTATAATGTATCTGCATAAAGAGCTTAGTTATATGTTATTGCTATTTTTTTATTGATTCGTATGATTGTGTAAAATGATCAAGGCCTTTATTGAAGTTATATGTAGGGTTTTAGATAAAGGAGGAGGGTAAACTAGTTCTAAGATAATCTTTAGGATAAGATCTGAGATTTTATAAGCTACTTTTCAAATTATTTGATATTCTCTATCAAAATTCTGTTGAAGGGTAGGGTAGGGTTTTTCCAAAATGATTTAAATCACAGTTTTGCACTTCTATTTTGTTGCATGCCCTTTCTAGTTAAGCTTGAAAATGCAACCAATACGGCCAGCCTATTGTTGTGTCTAAATGTTGAGCATTAATATTTTCTCTTTTGTTTGGATAGGGTGCAGAAGGCATAAAGACATATGGCATTGACAAATTGATTCAAGTAGCTGCATCCCAGTTGAGTGACCAGCTTCCTGAGTCCAGAGAAGCAGCTCGAACACTAATTCTTGAGCTTCAAAATGTTTATGAGAAATTTCACAATCTCATGCCAGCAGCAGCTGTAAATAAGGATCCAGAGACTGAGACAGCATCCGAGGATCCTAAGATTGAGACAGTATCTGAGGATCCTAAGACCGGGACAGTATCTGAGGATCCTAAGACCGAAACAGTACCTGAGGATCCCAAGACCGAGACAGTATCTGAGGATCCCAAGACTGAGACAGTAACTGAAGATCCAGATACGGATACAGAATCTTGGGAAAACTTCTGTCAATCAAATCTTTCTCCGTTAAGTGCTCAAGCTGTACTTCGTGTGACCAGTATTGCACGGGAAGGTCTTGTTTCATGACACGTACATCAGTTAGTGCACTTCATTATTTTCTGGTTTGCATCCCATTTTCTTCTGTAAATACATTGCGACGATTGAGATTTTTAAATTGCCGTTATATGCACCATGTATTGAGCCAAAGATTTATGGTGTATTTTTTTACTTAGCTGTGGTTACCTATGCCTACCCTTGATTGATATTTGATAGATATATAAATTACGTTTCTGGCGCAGTCTCCTTCAAGATTTTCAGTTCTTTTAATTGCATTTAGTAAATTCCCAAATTCAATGTGGATTTTGTGCATGTATTGACTCGTTCAAAGTCTTAATTGTGCAGGTTTTGTTTATCTGATATACTACTAGTTGTAGATTTTAGTATTTTACTTACTCAAATTTTAGAGGAAGAATAATCTGCATTATTAGGGCCGTTAACTTTTTAGATCTGGAAAATAATTTGCATTATTAGGAATAATCACATGTCCCGTCAATGCTGCATGAATTTTTTATCATCCTCTCATTTGAAACTGGCCAGACAAGCCATTGAAATTTCAGTCTAAACAACTATTAATTTTTGCTGATCTGTTTTTGCTGGACAGTTCAAATGTAGTAAGATGACAACAAACCGGAACTGAGTGAAAGCAGCATCTGTATTGTGGTTGGAATAGAACTATCACATACTGCATGATTGATCATTCACCTTACAAATTTTCCCTCTAAACTCCACTTCATGAAATTCACACTGTAATTCACTTACCTACTTTCATTATTATAGATTCAATTCAATGGTTGAGGTAACATGTGATAAGCTGCATAAATAGCGATAAGCTCAATTATTTGAACTCTAGAAGAAATTGTAATATTCATTGGAGGGAACAGGGAGGCCAGCAATCATGAATATGACCTGTAGTTTGTATTTAAAATGTCATTCTTGAGGGTCTACACCATAAGTTTGAGAGAAAGAGTGTTTGATTATTGAAGCACCTAGATCAGTTGCCACCACTCAAATCAAGTACGTCTTAAGCATGAAGGAAACCGACATGAGTATTGCTATTCAATAATCAATATTGAGATTTTAGACAACCTGTAACGAAATTGAATCTAATTATCTTATCAGTAGAAGGATCAATTTTAAGTGATGGGAGGTTATGCGTACTTTTTTGATGTTGATACTTGGTGTTAGTTCTCTAGTTCTAAAGAAAAAATGGTCATGGTAATATGTGAAGTTCTGCCGTGAGGTTTGGTCAATAATTTTGGGAATTTTTTAACACACTTCATATGTTTCTAGCGCTCCATGCAAAAATACGAAAATATCTCTAACTTTCAGAAATGTATCTCCAGAGTACTCCAGAAATATCCTTAGTCAGACTATTGATGAACAAGACCCTATATAAGAGAAGAAAATTAAGTTGAGATGCATTTACGGGAGGGACCCGTAGTTGTATCTCCGGAAACACCCCAATTACATATCATAGTTTAGTCTAAGAAATCTCAGATGTCACACAAAAATATTTCGGAGTTGCACTTACGGGAGGGACCGTAGTTGTATTTTCGGAATATACATGCACTCGTCTCTTCCCCTTCTTCACTTTCAAAAACACATTTGAAACAAAATCTCAAAACCCTCTCAAAACTCCATCTATTCTCTTGTGCGAAAATCTCATCAAAAATCAACAAACAATAATCAAGCATCATCTAACATTATAGTGTTGGAGTTTCATCAACCAACAAGAATTCGATTTTGAAGTGAAATTGTAAGGGTTTTTTGAACTTTTTTGAGTTAATGTAAGTGCATTTAGAAATTAACTTTTAGGTTAGATAATTGAAATATTTTTAGTGTTTGCAAGCTTAGAAGTATGGTTAAACTTCTTAGTAAGGTTGTTTTTTCGATCAATGAACATTTTTGAAGTCTTAGTAGCATTGACTTTCGCCATTGACGAATCAGAAATTGAATATTTTTGGAAATGTTGAAAAATTCTGGAAACGTTGAAAAATTATGGAAATGTATCTCCAATACTAGAGATCCATATCAGTTTTTATATAAAAATTGAAAATTTCTGAAAATGAAAGAGCGTATAGGTTGAGACTGTTAGAACAAAGTTTGAATCTACTACTCTAAGTTTAAGTTTTGATGATAACAAAATGCTAAGATACATTAATTGTATGATTCATGTAAGTCACATATGCTATCTAAAAATTACATTCTGTTTTACAGAAATTCTGATGGGTATCAGCATGAGAACATCCTCATCAGCATCAGAAAATTGGATATCAACATCAGCATCAGAAGATGCTATATCAGATACCAGAATCAGAAGATCAATTTGCGCTTATGCTGAAGCTTGATGAACAGATCTGCGCTTAACACTCTGAACTCTGATAAAGACAACAACAGTTCATCAACACATAAGCAGCGTCAGAATGAGCCAAAGCCAGAACACGCTTAAGTGGCAACGGTACTGTGCATTCAAGATGATTTATTACCAACGACATCATTCCAAGACAAGATCTGCTTAATAAGGAAAGAATGTTATTGGCATTGAAACAGAATTATTACTCCAACGTACACTATTTCCAATGCTATATAAGCAAGTCAATGAAGATTGAATTGGCTAATACTCTACAACAATCTACACGCCTAAAAGCTAATCATCATCTTCCTTACTCTCAGTTTGCTAAAAGCTCCAAAATTCCTTACTCAATTATTTTAGTAATCTAGTTCTCTTAAGCTTAATTTGTGTAGTATCACAGTTGTGATAAACCGTTTTTGTAGAAAACATTCACACACCTAGATTTCAATTCTTTGTAAGAAAGTAATTCCTTGAGAAACCGGTTTGTGGTTTGCATCAAGAAGGCTTTAGCAGTTGTTAAAGCAGATTGTAATATTCAGTTGAATATAGTGGATTAAGACCTCGTTGGAGAGAGGCGAAATCACATTGACGGGTGGACTGGAGTAGTTTGAGATCAAACGAACCAGGATAAAAATACCGTGTTCATTGCAATTGATTTCCAGTTTTTACAATTCAACCCCCCCTTCTTGTGTTTTTCACTTCTTCAATTGGTATCAGAGCGCCTGGTTCTGAGCTAAAACACTTAACTGTGTCAGTACAAGATCCAGCGTCAGAAAAACACAATGGCAGGAACTTATCAACACACCAGCAATGACAACAATGAAGACAGAGACAGATTCAGCGGCAAACCTCCAGTCTTTGATGGAGAAAATTTTGATTACTGGAAAGACAGAATTGAAAGCTTCTTTCTGGCACATGATGCTGATCTGTGGGACATGGTGACAGATGGATACACGCACCCTGTGAATGCAAGCGGTCAAAAGATTGATAGGAAAGCAATGTCTGACCAACAAAAGCGTGACTTCAAAAATCACCACAAGGCCAGAACCATCCTTCTCAGCGCCATCTCCTATGCTGAATATGAAAAGATCTCTAACAGAGACATAACAAAGAACATGTTTGACTCACTCAGAATGACGCATGAAGGCAACATTCAGGTCAAAGAAACTAAAGCTCTTGCGCTCATTCAGAAGTATGAGGCATTCAAAATGGAAGAAAGCGAATCCATTGAAACTATGTTCTCAAGATTCCAAATTCTGGTGGCTGGTCTCAAGGTTCTGGACAAAGGATACTCTACTGCTGATCACGTCAAGAAGATCATCAGAAGCTTACCAAAGCAGTGGAGGCCAATGGTTACAGCTCTGAAGCTAGCAAAAGATCTCAACAAAATTTCTCTGGAGGAACTTATCAGCTCCCTCAGAAGTCATGAGATAGAGCTAGAAGCTGATGAACCTAAGAAGCAAGGTAAGCCTTTAGCATTAAAATCTAACAAAAAATCTGAGTCTAAAGTTTTGCAGGCAGTTGAAGAAACATCTGATGGATCCTCATCAGAAGAAGACGAACTTTCTCTTCTCTCCAGAAGAGTGAACCAACTGTGGAAGCAGAGGCAAAGGAAGTTCAGGAATCCCAGAAGATCTGATCAGAACGAGTCTTCTTCCAGATACAGAAGGACAGATTCTTCCTCTGGATACAGAAGATCTGAAGGCTCCTCAGGAAGCAGAAAGCCAAACACCAAAGACATCATCTGCTATGAGTGCAATGAGCAAGGACACTACAAGAGTGACTGCCCAAAGCTTCAGAGGGAAAAGCCCAAAAAGAAGTTTGGAAGAGAAAAGAAGAAAAGTCTCATGGCTACATGGGATGACTCTGACTCATCTGAAGCTGACTCAGAATCAGATGATGAGAGAGCAAACATAGCTCTCATGGCCAACATTTCAGAAGATAGTGAAGCTTCTGAATCAGACTCAGAATCAGATACTGAAGAGGTATTTCCTGACTTTGCAATTAACTTTACTAAGGCTGAACTTGCTGAAAGCCTTAATGAAATTCTGGAAAGGTACCAGCAGATTAGAGTTAAATTCAGAAACCTGAAAAGGAATCTTGAATCTGACTCTGATAAGACTGAGAGTCTTAAATTGGAAAATTATGAGCTGAGAAATAAAATTTCAAAATTAGAAAATACTTTACAAAACTCTCAGAAGGAACCAATTTCTGAAACTCCCAGCAGCGCTGATGAGATCATCAAGGAGTATGATCACAGTTTCCAGAAGTTCCTTGCTAAAAGCATAGATAGAAGCAAAATGGCTTCAATGATCTATGGAGTTAGCAGAAACGGCAGGAAGGGAATAGGATACCAAGGTAAGGTTCCTACACCAAAGAATGCCATGGACTTAACCATTAAACACACTCCTCTGAACTCACATTTTATGTATGGTCACACACATGATATTAAATACACTAGCAGTAAGTATTCTGTGAAACCAAAATTCAACCAGAGTTTTGGTAAATCTAACAAATCAGGACCCAAGAAAATCTGGGTACCTAAGGATAAAATAATACATGTTGCAGATATCTTTAGCAGCAAATCAGAAACATCAGTCATGGTACCTGGACTCTGGCTGCTTGCGACACATGACGAGAAGAAGGCATATGTCCAAAGCCTGGAACTTAAGCC